GTCTACCCGCAATTGAGGGTTCAACGTCTTCTTGAACGCATATCCTGTGATAAATAAGCCTTGTGCAGGTGGAGGTCGACCTGTGCGCACCGCGAGGGGAAGCGTGTACGTTCGTTTCTTGATTTTTTTCCCGATTTTACTGATTTTTTCTGATTTTTTTCAGAAGGGAAGAGAATCGTCGGAAATCGTCGGAAATCGTCGTATTTCGTCGGAAATCGGCAAAAATCGTAGGAAGTCAGAAAAAATCAGGAAAACGTCCCAAAAAAATCGTGAAAAATCGCGAAAAATTGTGAATTTTTTTTAAAAAAAATACAAGAAATAGGAACCGTAGCCAGGGAATCGCAAGTTAATTCCATCTCGACGACGACGACGGTCAGAGAAACCCCTTCGAAATGCCTCTACAGACGTGATCGGCGATTAACAAAGCTCGTTCTATAAGTTTGTAGCTTTTTAAAAACAATATTGTTGAAATTTATTGCCCCTGGTAGCCAGGCAACCCACCCCAACCGGTCTTGAGGGGTGCAGTGAAACTCATTTCGTGTCCTTCCGCAACGCCCGGGGTGAAGCTTTGTTGAAAAGAAACGATTTTTACCCGCATAGTTCGTTTTTCGGAAATGCTCTAAAATGGTTTGTTGCCCCTGGTAGCTATGCAACCTGCCCGCACGGTCCGCCTAGCGCTCTCCTGAACAGGGGGACATTAGACCAACATTTTGGTACCATAGAAGTAACGCCCGGACGGCTGAAGTGGCTTGGGGAAGCCGTTAAACCTCGAAAAACAGCGATTTTGACACAAAAGCGACCATTTTCGTCCCCGTGGAACGTAGGCAACACACCCTAGAAGGGCCAAGGGTCTGCTTTCCTCATAAGTAAGGTCTAGAGATGATGTAAGCGTGTGGGCGACCTCACACGGCCGAATCCGAGTGAGATAATACGATTTTAGAGTACTTGAGGCAATTGAAGAAAATCGAAAATCTTCGAGACCGTGGCGCAACCTTTTTTATTTCGAAAATTGAAAATCCCTGAGACACGTAAACCTTAGTTTTGTCCCTAGAATCGATTCCGACCCGGGGAGCGACGATACCTGCAACTTGACTTTTGGCCTGGACAGTCTACCGAGGGGTGCATAACTTCAAAAATCCCTGTACGCTTACTAGAGCAATCCCTTTGCAATCCGTCTCCAGTCCCTCCAATCCCTTCCAATCTTTCAAATCCCCCAAATCTTTCAAATCCCTAAAATCCCCCAAATTACTAAAATCCATGAAAATGTCCTTAAATTTCGTACACTAAAAAGTTTTCGTGATTTTACGAAAAAAAAAATGTACGGGATGCTTCGTCAAAAATAATTTACGAAAATATTTCATAAGTGTCAATTTACGAAAGGTTTCGTAAAGTTACAAATATGTTTCGTAACGAATGCGAATTTTGGGCTTAAACGTATTTTGATACCGCCTAGATGAAGCTTTGGATTTTTATAAAGCAATTCGTAAAATAATGACGTATCGTAATTTGTTAAAATCGAAGTTTTTGTAATAGAAAATTAACCGAGAAAATTTCGTAAAATTGAGATAATTAATTTTACAGTGTAGAATCCTTCCTGAGACCTCCCCAAATCTCACTCTGATTCCTTCATATCCTCAACAATTTTCCCAAACCCAACGAATCATGCTGACCGTACCAAACCCAATCCTGCTAAAATTGGGCTCCAATCCATTCAAATCCCCCTCAAATCCTCTTCAACCCTACCCGAATCCTCGCCAATCCCCTCCAATCTTACGCCAATCCTTGCCCATCTCCTCCAATCCCCTCCAATCCCTACAAATCTTTGCCAATCTCGACAATCCTCCAGAACCTAATTTTTTTAAAAAAATCTTTTGAATCCCACCGAATCTGTAGGGATTCCAATCCCTGTACACGGCTTTTTGGAGTTATGCTCCCTTCGCGAGCCACCGCAACCTACTGCAGCCACCCCACTACAAGCAGACACTAGAGAACCTTCCAGGAGAGACGCCAGGAAGGCGCTGTTCCTGTCGCGAAAATCTGCGAAGCGACGGGAGCGAAATGTCGAGTGAAAACCCCCTCGCCTGCGGCCCCCTGAGCGGTCGGCCTTTCGTCTGCCCACATCAGGTGCTGGCGTGGTGCGGCCGACTCCCGTTCGTTCTGGTGTGGGACGAATCGAGTGGATGCCCGTGCGGTTACCAGTGCGTGGTGCCGACCTCAGCCTTACATGGTCGACAGCACTGGTACCAATCTGTACGGACGTCCTCTGCCACTATCTAAGTCATGATTCGTTCCAGTAACCCAGCATACCGCGGCGCGGCAGGCGCGGGCACACCTCATCCGTGCCCTGGACGCCAATGACGCGGTCATCCACCGGCTCGACGCGGCGATCGGGGCGCTTACAGCGGTGTGCCGCCGCTCAGGCTCACCGCTACCGTGGATGGCATGGACGACACAACCGTCCGCCAACGTCCGTCCGGGCTGTGTGTATCACGGGCCACGCTGCGAGGGCGGCATCCGAGGACCTGCCGGCTGCCCTCCGCCGTTCGGCCAACAACGACACCCACAGCCAGGGCCAATGACGAGCTCAAAATCTGCTCGTCCGTTGCCCTATCCGCGGACGCCAGTCTGGCGGTCGTATCCGCCAGTTGCCAAGCCGCTAACCAGGGAGGAGCGCGGCCTCAGCTCCGCGCAGCCTCGTTCGAGGCCGCCACCTGCAGCTGCGGCCGCGAAGGACCCGGAGGGCGAGCCACAACCGCCCTCCGCTGAGGAGGACGCCGCCACCGACAACGAAGTAGAGCAAATCTTCGTCGACGACGAGTCCACCTACAGCAGCCAGTGCGAATGTCATTCTCCGAAAGATTGCCCTACGTCGGGTGTTGTTGATTATCCAAGCACAACACCGACATACAGCCCGAACTCGCCTGAATTTTTTTTAAACAATTGATTTCAAAAAGACTTTTAATATTTCATTTTATTCCAACACTTTTATAACGTCTGGTGTTTGTGTTTTGTTCCCGTGCGCGTTTTAACTTCTGTGCTTCTCCTGTACCTGTGTGGTGTAACTGATTGATTCCTTTTACTTGTCTGCGAATATTTGTATCCTTTGCCTTGTATTTATAGTTCCATTTTTCACTTCTTCTATTTGCGTTTTACTCTAGGGTGACTTTGGTTATGGGTTTTAATTTTTCCTGTTCCGTATGTGCAATTGTACGTGTGTAATGTACTCGTTTTCAGTCCTGGTAATTGGTAACATATGTATTGTTAATCATTTATATTTTATGTAATCGTTTTATTTTCATATTCCATTATTTTCCATGTAATCATATATATATAACCATTCACACTTATCTAAAATTAGTTTTACATTGTGTCTCTCCAGACGGGCCAAAACCATGTAAGTAATTTAAACCACCGCATCCAAGGAGTCACCATGAATTAACAGGTTATCCAAATAAACCTTTACATTCTTGATGCTGCCAACAATTTCTTCCATGACAGACTGAAAAATTGCGGCAGCAGAAGCAATACCAAACGGCAGTCGTAACAATTTGTAAAACCCTCTAGGGGTATTCATGATACATAACTCCTGGGACTCCTTGGACAGGGGCAACTGCATGTACGCATCCTTAAGATCTAAACTAACAAAGTAGGCAGCCTCAGACATGTCCGAAAAGATCTCCTCTGGAGAAGGAATAGGGTAGTGGTCTACCCGCAATTGAGGGTTCAACGTCTTCTTGAAATCCACTACTAGGCGGTACTCGCCATTTTTCTTCGGAACTGGAAACGAGGGCGAAGCCCACTCGGCATGCCTGACGTGGACTGCCTTGCCTTGATCAACCATCTTGTCAACAATAGCATTTACTGGATCAATGAGGGCAAACGGGACCTTGTATGCCCGATGCTTCACTGGCGCAGCCTTCTCTTGCAATAGCAATCTTGCTGCAAACCCTACTATAGGCTCATCATTATTAACATCAAAAATTTTGGGAAACATGTTCCGTAACTCCTCCACTGAGGGCGCAGCGACACTAATACTAGAAATTAAAACAGGTTGATTGAAAACATCTCCCCAACCAGGGAGCAAAGCGTCAAGCCAAGGACGACCTAATAACGGATTTAACAATTTGGCGTCCTGGCAAACAATTAAACACAAATTTTTGGTAATGCCATTTTTAGATACGCAGACATTAACTTCTCCACTGACTCTAATGTCGCCGGAAGCTGATGACAATTTTGTAGGACTAGGTGATAATTTAACAAGAGGGAACAAAGACTTAAATTTATCCAGGGGGATGATGGATGCCCCCGCTTCGGTGCCCACCACCATAGCCAATTGAACATTTTCCACGAGCACCTATCCACTAACAACGGTGCACAGTTGCTAGTGGATAGAAACACAAACACCTCGTGATGGGCTAGAGGACTCATCGCAGAAGCCGGCAAGCGTGGAATTCCGGGCCGTTCTCTGCCCGAGTGAAGGGGGAATCGAGTATGGATTATTGTCGACGAGGATCCAAGGAACAGAAGAATTGTTTTCGGAAGAAAGTTGAAATTAGAACCAAAGAAGAATGAATCAGAATCACCAGCAGCAACCGCCGGGTTTGT